TATATATATATATATATATATATATATATATATTCACGGACAAAGTTTTTTTGGTTTATTAAAAATACTTCACTAAAAAATATGATTTTTTTTCCATGTGAAATACTTATAATGTTTACTGAAAGTCTACCAAATTTCGTGAAGATATACCTACTATAATAAAAGTTAGTAGCATCAAAAGTATAAAGAATTTAAACGAGTACAAAGAGGTCACGTGGTCGGTCAAATTTACCCACCCAGCGTTGAGAGAGTTAATAATTAATGACAAGTGAAATTAACGAAACAGGGCGCTTTTGATTGGGATTTGGGGCCCAGGCGCCTGGCACCCGCTTACCCCCCAAGGGCCGGCCCTGATTGAAACGCCACTTCTGTTATATACGAAATATGAATTTCATGGCGTGTATGTGTTTATTGTATATTTTAATAGAAGAATTTTTTTTTAAGCGCTTAGTACTGAGCCCAGAATCGGAAACCTTTGAACATTGGAAGGACGTCCCAGTGCCTATATTTATCCACTTTTACTTCTTCAACCTAACAAATCACGAGGGAGTATGGTCACTAACAGAGAAGCCACAGCTGGCAGAAGTCGGACCTTACGTATTCAGGTACGTCACATATTAAATATTTCTGTGTTAGATTACTTGCCTACTACCTCGTTATCGTACAGCAAGGATAGCATTCACTGCAAAAAAAATGGTCATGTGATAAACTAGACAACAACCACACACACACGTTTTCTCATTATCTGTTTGTTAAGAAGAAGAAAAAATCTGCGGACCTACAACGGTAGCATCCGAGTTTCGATACCCGTGGTGGGCAGAGCACAGATAGCCCATTGTGTAACTTTGTGCTTAATTACAAACAATCAACCTGTCAAAAAAATATACGTTCGCACGTTTTCTATGTTTACCTAATTTTTACCTACAAAAATGTTTGTATTACCCCTCTCTTTATAAACATTTAGGCTTAATTCTGTCTCAGCTTTTGCTTCAGTTTTTTTTTTATTATTATTATTATTTACATGCGTTATTTTTCAGCACTGATTATCACACTGGACGGTAAAGTTGTAACTAGAATTTATTTCACTTTTAAATATTATATATTTTCAATAAGTATCATGTGAATTATTTAATTAATAAAACAATTATCATCAACTCCAAAAAAATAAGCTACAGAAAAAAACCTTCCAACTAGAATGGTTAGTTCTTACTAATCTGTTAAATAGAACGGATAGTTAAAGACTACTTCTATTGATTTTGAAAAATAATGAAATGTATACATTACTAGCTGAAGTATCCGTCCCCCCCCCCCCTGGACGAAAGTTATGTAAATTCCTGATTAAAGAAAGGTTATCTTAGGACATGAAAAGTTGCTTCCCTTATATGTAATTATAAAAAAACGCTCATGAAAACTGCAAAACACAAAATGTGAAACCGCAAGTTTCATTTATCTCCGCATGGACCTAACAAACCTTCATACCAAATTTGGTGAAGATCCATCTAAAAGGGGGCGAAGTGGTGGTAAAAAACGCCCATAAGAACCGCAAAATGCAAAACTGACAATTTCTATGTACCTCCGCATGGACCTATTGAACCTCCATACTAATTTTGGTGAAGATCCATCCACCCCCTGCGAAGTAGTTACATGGACATAGAACAGACAGTACTACTATATTTATATATACACCTGGAAAAAAGTTAAGCACCCCCGTGTTTTTTCAAGTGATTCAGATTCGACGTTCTTGTGACTGATTATAA